TGAGATTCAGACTAAATCCACTACAACTAAGCCAAGAAATTCAGAAACAAATTCTTTGTTAGAAAAAGTAGAATTAGGGACTGGGGTTGTGGCTCAGTGGTAACGTGCTTGCCAAGCATGTGTGAGGCACTGGGTTCGATTCTCAGCACCATATACAAATAAATAAAATAAACATCCATCAACAACTAAAAAATATTTGAAAAGAAAAAGTAGAATTATCAGATTTCCTTCTTATCCAGTTTTTATCACCCAAATTCCTTTACGCCATGATTAAACATGAAGAAATATATTCCATGGTTATACAGAGAGGAAAAGTTTGTCATTACTTGAAACTATTAATCAATGAACCAAATACAGAATTTTTCCTCTCTGAAACAACCTTCCTGCTTAGCTTGAATGATCATCTCTGCCCAAGTCAAAATTTTTCCAATCTTTCTTTTACAAGCTGCAGGATATTTTAAACACCAATCTTATAGGCAGCAGAGTTGGATTCTTGCAAATGCAGAATTTCATGAAATTGAATAAAATTTATCTTGTGGAACTGCTTCAATTTCCAGACCTGTATCAAGAGACTAAGTAAAAACTGAAGAAAAATAGATAAAGAATCAGAAAAATTATCATTAAACAGAATAATGGGTTAGGATCATGACACACAAATGCTTCCAAAACAGTCTGGTTAAATAGCAAAGGAAACTAATTAAAAACATTGATTTTAATTTTTTAAAATGTTTTGGTAAAGGGCTGGGGCTGGGGCTCAGTGGAAGAGCCACATGCCTAGCATGTGCAAGGCACTGGGTTCAATTCTGAGCACCACACATAAATAAATGAATAAAATAAAGGTCCATTAACATCTTTAAACAAAAAAAATAGAGTTATTTAAAAAAATGTTTTGGTTAATACAATCCATGGTTGATGGTGTTACACAAGGGTAACATGGTTTAAAATGATATTGCAATTTGCCGTCCTACAGTTTTGTTCAAGAAAGTGTCTCCTCTCCATGCCAAATCTACTCCTCAACATTCTTTGGACTAAGAATTAGTGCATAGTTGCAGTTAATTATAAAGATTTTGTTAATTCTAAAATAATTATATTCAGTATTTACCTTAAAATGTGCTCCTATTACAACTTTGGCCCTTATGGCTAAGGAGTGTCTTCTAGCTCTGATTTTTTGTGAAGAATTTTAGAGATGTAAGTTATTTATTGTGTCCACACTCTTCATCAGGCATTTTGCAGAGATTCTTCCCTTTACAGATAACATCATAGAGCACAGAGCAGATACGTGATCTGCAAAGTGGTAGTGTTTGGATTCATGTCTGGCTGTTCCCAGAGTCTATTCTTTTTAGTTAAGTTTGCCTCCCACAACTTCAAAAGTGCATTCAGAAATGCACTGTGATGTCTTTTACTCTCTACTCCTCAGTCCTTTGAATGAGAAAATGATGTCTGGGCTCTTTTAGTTGGTCAGTGCTATATTAATAATCATGCTTTGTGTCCACGTAGGGCATACATAGGTGGCAAAACATCTTCACATACATCAAATTTGGCTCTCACTACCACTGTTTGAAGTAGCAGGAAAGCAAGTAGAGGTCTGAGGCTCTGAGAGCAGAGATGGCTTGTCCAAGGACCCAGAGTCAGTGCTGTGCCCAGGGCTACCTTCTTTATATTATGGTACAGTGTTTTTTGCTCTATGCCCCTGTGACTTTTGAGGTTGAAAGGAGGGCAGGAGAAATCAGAAAAGAAATTTATTAGCAAAGTTAATGTCTAAATATAAGTCCTCATATTATGACATTTTCCAGGTGAAGTATTTTGGTGTCTCCCTTCTAAAAGTCACGCCCACCACACCAGCAAGAGAGAGCTTTGTGATCACACTTGTCCTCACTTTGGAGAGGTTTCTGATATATGAACTCTATTGGAAAAAAAAATGCCTCAGTGTGATATTTGGAAGATCCATAAAAGGCAGTTAACTAACAGATTCTGTGAAAATTAGCCTGAGTTGTTTTCTTTTAGTAGCTTTGCTAGTTTGACTTTCTATTTCTTGGAATTAAGTCTTTATTGTCCTTCTGTGTCCGGGAGGGCTAAGACCATGGCAGCCACTCAGCTGAGACCTTTTACCGTGCTCACAGAACCATGGGATCTTCAGACCTATACGATTTATTCTAACAAGGCCTAAAATGATCAGATTTACCTCATTCCTGCTCACGTTGCCCCTCTTAACTCACCAACACACGTGTCCTCCTCCACCTGACAGGACGGATAATAACCCCAAACAACAGGATTAAAATTTGGACCCAGTAATCACAGGGCAAGGAAAAAACAAACAAACCACAAAATCCTTTGCTTCTGTGCAACTAATAAGGAAAAGCAGTGACCATAAATAAAAACAAAGTACTTAAACCCCTGGCTAGAAATTCTGAACTTAGAGCTCTATCTCAAACTGGCTGTTTTACTTTTATTTTTGTGTCCTTTCCCCTCATCTATTAACAAATGAATCCATTAAGATATTCTTTCCATGCATGTAAAGATTTTTTTTTTGTCTTTGTAGGCTTCAAAAGCTTTTGTTCAGTTAATTAGTTGCATATGATAATAAGCTAGCCTGTCATCTTGGACTCAGTTCAAAATTCATCTGTAATGAATTCCACCCAGTTTCTGGGAAATTCCAAACTAATTTTCTGCCAGTTTCACTTTCTACTAATCACTGTTGGCCGCTCAAGTGAGCAGTTTCTAATAAACCTGCACAGGTGAACTCAAATGGCTTCACTGCCCTCTAGATTGGCACACTGTCTCTTCACCTGAGGAAGGAAGAGGACGAGGAGTACATGGCTCTTACCTAAGAGAATAGCAAGATAGCAAAAACACTTCTGTATTTTAAGACTCTGTGCTGGGCCAGGTACGGTAGTGCATGCCTGTAATTCCAGAGGGTTGGGAGGCAGAGGTTAGAGGATCACAGATTCAAAGCCAGTCTCACCAATTTAATGAAGCTCTAAGTAACTTAGCAAGACCCTATCTCAAAATAAAAAAATTAAAAACGAGTGAGGATGTGGCTCAGTGGTTAAGCACTCTGGTTTAAATAAAAAAAAAAAAAAAAAAAAAAAAAAAAGTTTTTGGCCTGGGCACAGTAGCACATGCCTATAATCCCAGCTACTCCAGAGAATGAGGAAGGAGGAGCATAAATTTTGAGGTCAGCCTTGGCCTTGGCAATT